CTACCTACCTACCTACTTACCTACCTACTTACCAACCTACCTACTCACCTACCCACTTACCTACCCACCTACTTATCTACTTACCTACCTACCTACCTACCTACCTCCCAGGGGTCTCCACAGTTGTTTTTACACTGGATGTCTATGCCAATGCAACTTTTCTCCGTGGCAGATTGGAGTTAGGGCAAAGGTCGGACTTGCAGATAATTTACTTGCATCAAACCACTGCCTTATAGGTTTATTCAGCGTCTGCTACCAATGTGGGGTCATGGTAGAAGAAACCTCCAGAGGTCAGAGGTCATATATAACAGCAGGACAATGCACCAAGGTGAGGTTGAACAAAGGTCTCTCCCAGGTGCAGATAGCAAGAGACGACTGGATACCACCATGTGTACTGTTTATGGGTAATATTACTAAATGCCTATTAGGTTTACTAATCGTAGAAACTTCCCAATTTATTTTTTTTGTAAACTTTGACACGTTTTAGTGCAGTTTTATTCTTTATATTATAAAATTGTTTGTCAATTAATATGTTATAATTTAATTTTAATCCCTCGTACTCGTCGTAGGACGAAGAGTCGTATTGACTTATTCAAACCACTAGATGGCCTCGTCGTACAATGAGTTATTGACTTATTCAAACCACTAGATGGCGGTCATGTTTCACAAGAGGTGGAGGCTGAAACTAGACTCAAACGCCGCGGCCTGTGCATTTTCAATAAAGTGCATTACACGTGTTGGTGTATTCGTTCGCCACGGGAGGGCGCTGGGGTTACTTGGTCACTTTTCTTTTTTGTCGGCGGTGCAGGTTTGATCTGTAATTACTAACAAAAAAACCCGTTTAATTTATGAGGTTTAAAAAACCTTACATTACGTGGACGTTACATGGCCAAACAAAAGGACCTGGTGGGCCACGTTTGGCCCGTGGGCCTTGAGTTTGACACGTGTTCAGGGGCTCCAGTATTATCTATTGTGTTTTTTTAATTTTTTTTTCTCTGAATACTATGTGTATTCTATCGTAGTAATATTTCATAATGATTTGGTTCCGACACAGTGTTAAACAAGGAAGTACAATTAGGATATATTTATTAATGATTGTTGTTTGTTTGACAACCATAATTAATGGTGTGTGTGTGTGTGTGTGTGTATGGGTGTGTGACCTCACCTACCATGATTTAAATTAACTTCATTAAATGAATAGGATAATACAAGAAATAAAATAAAATGTAAAAAAAACTTTTGTTGTGTTGTTGTCAAAAATGTCTTTTCTGCATTTTTTTCCTTTTCAGATACATTTTGATTAAGTTCGATGTTTTATCAGATAAAGTTAAGCTGAATATTTCTTTACAAAAACCTCTTTTTTCCGTTAAGTACCTGAAGAGTTAAAGAACAACAACCTCAGGGAAAGTTCACACCAGCCTCACGCCACGGTTGCTTGCAACACTTTATTATATATATTTGTTGGATATGAAAACAACTAACAGTAATGGAATCACCATGTTCCCATAAATTATGCTGATTAAAAAAAACATGTATATATGTTGACTGATTTCATCCTAGAACTGTGTTTAAATATTTTATTCTATAACAATAACAATAAACCTTACACAAAATCAAAGCTCTTTAAAAAAGTACATTCGCTCGTGTACAATACATTCTTATTGGTTGTGAGTAAATACTGAGTATACTATTTCGGGGTAGTAGTTTTATTGATTTGTATGTTTGTTATTACCCGGTAAAGATTTATTCCCATTATTAGTAGTTACAGCAAGTGCAGCTTTCGTAAAACTTTAGCGTGGCGGCGCACTGGTGGACGTAGGTGATTCCCCTAAAACACTGGTAAAAATGACGTGGGGAACCACTGACGCTGTAGTAGCCAACTGGTTTGCTTTGACAGAAGTTGTAATTGATTCCTCCAGAAGAGTTAGAATCATCATCATCATCATCATCATCATCACTACTGCTGGATGTGTCATCTGGAAGAAAACAAAAAGTTGCACAAATTGATAAATGACATTACTATCCAATGATAAGGCTTAAAAAAAAAATCATTGTGAAGGACATGTTCCTACAGTCGCAGCAGGAGCATTCCTCATTGAAGATTAGTGACCCGGAACATTCTTGGAGATAGGTCCGGTCACCCCAACAGTTAAAGTAACACTGTGGATAATCAGGCACGGAAAACTGCCCGTTTCCTCTCCGATGCAGGAATTCTCAGCGCCCTCTTGGGGACAAACTGTGCCGCTCTCCTCGGCCGTGGTGAAGTTTATGCTGGGTATTCCTTATTCAAAGAGATTTCGGGGGAATAAAATGGTCAGACTTGGAGTGCAGTTTCATCAAATGAGTACAACAGCGTAGAGGAAGTACAAAAACCAACTGTAGTACATGTCAAAAATATACAGATGTGTTTGTGTGACAATGTGAGGACTAATTACCTCGCTCAGAGGTTATTTTTGTAAATTTAAAAAGAGGTCAGACGCTACTGGCGGTCCCTGAAACACACTTATAGGTCTCTGCTCTAGAAAGGCAGCAAATGTGTGATCAATTTGTGCAGCAATCTGCAAATTTTATCCCTGAAAAAAACCCTGAAAAAAACCCAAGTCTATTTCAGTTAACATTATCCAATTGTAACTTTGTCAGTGGAGGGCAATAGAACTCGATACTGGAGACACCCTATCTGTACCACTGTGTATTTACCTGCTTCCAGATAGTCATACAACTGACTGACAAGTGGGTAAGGGCCTTGATCACAGACATCTCCGTTGAAATCGTCCTGGTCCAGAGACCAAACAGCAGCTCCGCCGAATCCATAGTCGATTACAAAGGTTGCCTGTACGTCCAAAAATGTTTTGAAAAAAAAAATGAATGTGTGATAGAGCATCGACAGATTTTTTAGTTTGCTGTGGATTAAAAATGGACCTTTTTAGCAATGCTCTCCTGATTGTCATATCCAACCCACAGAGATCCTGAATAACCGTAGGGAACCTGATGTTGTTCAGACCAGGACGTGGTTAGACCGTGGGAACAAATCTATGAATGAGGGGTAGAAGTTGATGCGGAATATCCCCACGTTTACAAAAGCAACAGTGATATGAGACGATTATTGTGCTGTACGATGGGAGACTTCTTTCACCTCATAGTTGGACAAGTATCCAGGATTCCCAGTGTAAGTGCCTGCTTCTCCTGGGCCACTGATTCGTGATCCCAGCCTGTTGAAACGACTTCGAAGAGTGAAGGTTCTTCCATATGTAGTGATCCCCATGAGAACCTTTTCAGCGGATGCACCTTTGTTTTTCCAATACATCATTGAATATTCCTTAAATATAAAAGAAAAAATACAACTGTAAATCATTTTTTATACCACCTTTGTGCTACGATCTGCGTTATGACTTTGCATGCGTTTATTTTAATCACTTTATCACAGAAAAATTATGTTTGTTTTTTTTTAAAATAACGCAGCTAGTTGATTTCTTCAAGTTCCCTAATATCTGGCCCTGTAGGTGGCAATATAGTGCCAAAAGTCCATTGGCTGCAAAGATGATGTACGGGATGCATTGAGTGAAGATTTTCAAAATTCCCGACAACAGATTTGATGGCTGTTTCCAAATTGGACAACAAAGATTTTTCGTCTCACAGACACCAGAGCTAACGTTAGCAACAGTGGTAGTGGTACAGACACCAGAGCTAACGGTAGCTACGAGGGTCCTGGTAAGAGGCTTCAGGGCCCAAATGGTCGTTAAATGTTGAATATAATAGCTTTAAATGGCCTGTGGGTGTGAAGTAATCCGTAGTATAGTTTCCACTGATCCGGTCTCAATCATAATAAATTAATTAAAAATAAAGTAATTGCGATTACTTACCAACAGGCCTTATAAAATAGTACTATGTTATAATTACATTCTATAATTTAATTGCATGCCTCCTTAATTCAAATCATTAAAGTCACTGTTGAACAATTAAGTCTGACTGTCTGAGGTTTTGCTGTTTGGCTCCATACACTAATCTTCCACTTACAGCGTTGTAGCGTGCATGATTTCCAGTGTCCATGGATCCTTGAAACAACGGAGCGTGATGTCTTGTGACTCGGTCTTGCAAGTTGTAAAAGTCATGCGCCATCACGTGGATTAAATCCAGGTGCCTGGAGTCAGCGAAGGTGTTAAAACATTGACCAAATATGGTGCAAATATATTTGCAGCAGTGAACAATAGGTTTGATTACGTGTTCAGCTGCGGGACGTCATAGCTAGCGTCCATGTGGTCCTTATGACCGGACACTGCAGCTGTGAGCAGTAACCTCTCGTTGCCGCCTGTCGGTTCGCTGTCAAAGACACTTGCCATTTCCTGTATAACATACACACGTTATTTGGTTCGATCCTTTTGTATACCAAATAATAGCACCAAAACGTGTGAATCGGATCAGACCTGGCACAGTGCTGTGAACTGATTTTTGCTGTTGCTCGTGTCAGGGTATCTCCAGTCCAACAGAATTCCGTCAAAGTTATTTTCTCTCAGGAAAAGTTTCACAGACTGGATAAAGGTATTTCTGTTCACGGTGGACGCCGCCATGGTTGAGAATCTAGAAATGTTTATGGAACAGAGAAGCAGACGTGGCACTTGTTAGTAAATGCTCAGCAGATTCATAGTGTGTTATTACGTCGTTATTGCTCACTTGTTAGTATCGAAATCTGCACCACCGACTCCGAAAAGGACTTTGAGGTCTGGATTGCTGTGTGAATAAATTCAAATCAAGAAATAAATGAATTAATGATGATCAGGATCAGAAATTACTGTATTGACTCCCGGAGGTAAAATGTTAATATTATGAGATAGATAAAATACAATATATAAAATATATGAGGTAAAATGTTAATATTACGAGACACTGCTGGACAAATAAGTAAGGTAGATAAAATAGATAAAATACAATATATAAAATATATTGTATTTATATATTGTATTTAACTTTTTATTACTATTTTTTGTGGGGTATCCGATATTAACTTTTTTGCCAATATCTGATATGCCGATATTGTTCAAACACTTAATTTTGGATTCCGACATCAACCTATGTAGGCCTGGTAATATGTATTTATTTATCTGTACAAACTGTATGAGTTTCTGGGACCAGCATTCTGCATACAATCCCCTGATTATTAAAATAGATTTAAAAAAATGAGCTGGAATGCTGCCATCTAGTGACATTCACTTTCTTATACAGCCGTTTATTCCCAAAACTATTTTTAGGGCACACGTCATTTGACAGGCATTGCTTTAACAGGTTTTCATTTATGGAAAAAACAATTACAATTCTTACAGATATTTGCTAAAAATAATTATGCTAATAAATTAGATAAAAAATAGTAAAAAAAAAAATAGTAACCATGTATAAAATGCTACGCTTAAAATAAACCAATAGCGGCGGAAGAAGGATTCAGAAGACTCACCTAGTTTTTAACGCAGTTAAAGTATCAAAAAAGGACAGTTCTTCAATTGTTGCCATGACAACATTGTTCTGGATGTCACCGTAGACGGCGACCAGGTGGGTGCACAGGTTAACATCAATCTTTGAAGCGTCAAACTGTGCCGGACCTGCTCTTGATCTGGACGCCTCGTCCACATAACACATTAGATTGAAGGCAGAAGCTGCAACAAGAAAGAAACACCGGATTACAGTTGTAGCGATCATGATACTACAGTACTCTTCAATGTTCAAGGGTTGTTTTTTTTAGATTGATTGGGTTTTACTAATGCAAAAATGTGAACTCACCCAAACTGGTGAAAATTAGGCAGAGAACTACAAAGGAAGAAAATGAGTCAATATTTAATTAGAAGTGCGTCAGTAATCATTTACTGAACATTTAGTCATGTTCATCAATCCTTTATGATGAAACATTTAGTCATGTTCATCAATCCTTTACCTGTTACTTGAATTATGTTCCTCATATTTTACTGTAAAGACAAAATAAAGGCACCTTAGAAAATACGGTCAGAAAAAAAAAAGCTCAGTACTTCAATAACTATTAAAACAGTCTTTAGATGAATCCTTGATGTGCTCAATATAGAAAGGGAAACAATACTAGATATTTAGGGTGTGGTAAAGGGACTGTCAAGATGAGTAGTCATTATTTTGTCTCCACACTAAAGTACAGCTCAATACAAACAAACAAAAGAACACATTGTGTTTGGCTCCTACTACCTTCGACTCAGGAAATTAAATAAAAATAATCTTAAAATAATCCCGTTTGATGAGATCGCCGACAAACACTTCAAGGGCTTCGTAGTACCATTACTGTCGCCTACTTCAAACCCATCATCCAAATTCTGCCTGTCTCTACCAACAAGATGGAGGGTCAGAACCTCGTTTAAAAAATGGCTGAGGTCAGATAATACAGAAGGTGTCGCAGTCGGACAGCAGTTGGTAAAACGTGCACAAAAAGTTGTTAAATATCACGAGGAAAAATGTAATCCTTTATGAATAATGTTAAAAGTTTCTTCCTGACTTTTACAGATTCACAAATTCAAATTTATACTAATAATAATAATAACAAATTATTTCCCTTGCTGTTACCCAATCAATCAACTGGGGTTCACTTCGGGAACTGCTGACTAACTTAAACTTAAACTAACTTGTTTTTTATTAGTTACAGTAATATACAGGATACATTTTTTGGTCATATTTCAAAATTTAGGAATTAATTAGGATGGAGATTAATTATAATAAATCTCTCTCTCTCTCTCTATATATATATATATAACCATTTATGTTAATATAAAGTGTGTATATATATATTTATATATATATATACATATACATATACATATATAGATATATACACAGTCAAAAAAATTAAAATATATATATGCTGTGAAGTGTTTGTATAAAATACTTACAGTATGTGGTTGACAACAGGCTCCTCTCACTCCTTATGACAATGTTTGGCATCACAGGCTTAAATAAGGCAGGAGGAGAGGGTGTGGCCTTGTGAGGTCTAATTAGTGGCGGGGGAGGGGGATCATTTGGCTCAGGTTTGTTAACAATTGCCAATGTTTTTCAGTTGATTTGGCTGTGGATGATTTGTTCAACTTTGATCATCAGAATGACAAGGTGCGGAAAAGGTGCAGCGGAACCAATACACTGTGATCATCACTAATTAGTGATGTCATTTTCAGAGACGTTTGGATAAAAATTGAAAGAGAGGAGATGGATACCCAGTCAAACTGACCAGTGGTAGATAACAGGCAGGAAACTCTGGAAAATCTAAGTGTTGCGGGATCTCATTTTCACGTTGTGAAAGTGAACCAGACACAGAACTCCAGTTTACATCATTACTTGAGCAGGTTATGCTTCTGGAGTTTCTTTAGAATGAGCAACTCAGAGGCGTCTGTTCTCACTCCTCCCAGTTTATTGTCTCCTAAGTTTTATGGAAAGGTTCCTCACATTGTCACACCCTTTTTTATGACCCAGGTATTAATATCCTCATTATAGGATCTTGTCTGACTACTTAAACACCTCTGACGGTAATTTTGGCTTGGTAATTTTGGCTTGGTAACTAAGCTTAGTTTTTAATCTGTCATTGCTTTTTTAGCAGGCTGTGGCAGATACTTAGGGGATTTTCAAGCCTGTTATGATGAAAAAAAAAGGATCCTTATGGTTTCATGTCTATTTTCACTCAATTAAAGATTCAAAACTAATATATTTTCTGAATTAGTGTAGAATCAATTGGCAGACATTTTAAGAACACACTGTAATTATTTTTTTTTTTTTTATAGCTCAACAACAGTGCTTCAAAAACGGGGAATGGTTCTTTGAAATGTATTGGAGATCTTTTGAAGTCGTCATTGTGAAATTTTTTTTCTTTTGAAGGAGATCTTTTGAAGTCGTCATTGTGAAAAAAGTCACGACATCTCCTTTGATCAGTTATGTGGAACTGTAAATGAATGGTTTCTCAACGCATTTCTGCGCCCGTGTCTAGACACAATTATTGGTTATATAACAACAAATATCCAATAACTATGATTATAATTACCTACATTCGTAGGTGCGTGTGTCAGTTTATAGCTTTACCTATGACGCAAAGAATTAAATTTTCCATTTATCATTGCTGGAACACAGTCAGTGCACGTCCTATCATCTGAACACACTCACCCAACTCAGGTTGAGACTGTTCAGGCTGCTGCTCAGTTTTCCCCTCATCGTCTTCTCAGCCGTGGCCTCCAGACGACTGTCCTCATTATGAGGAATGTATTGTATTTATTTGATCTAAATATGTTTCTTTAAATTGTATTTTAAAATATAATTAAAATTAAAAAATTGATTTTTACTTGGATTTTTGTCCATTTCAACAATTACCTTGATAGATCGATAAATAGTATATTTATCAGTATCACTGAACTATAACTCAACATCTACTTCAATATATTTTATATCCTGAGTTTCTTTATGTTTTGGCACTGTTGTCACAGCAAGCCATTAATTTGCTGCCGGTAAAGTCGTCTTCTTTCTTCCTGTTGCTCAGCTTTATTTGTTCAGCTCTTTCCCGTTCTTTAATTATTGTTCAACATCCTGATCTCGTCTGTTTCAAGCTCTTATGATTACCTACCTCCCTCTGCTCCCTTACCTCCACTTCCCCTCACCCCTCTCTGTGAGTATATCTCTACCAGTCTCCAATGCCAGTTTGTTCTGGAAGCGATTCCCAACCTCTGTGCTGCGGCACAATAATCTATGAAAAGGGATCACCAGGTGTACCATGGGTATTTTGTCCAGAGAGTATTATTTATTTACTGCAAAAACAAAATTGCCTTTGGCATTGCAACAGCAGCAGGCAGAACAAGTGAACACTCTTCCACCGAGTGGAAAAGTGATTCAGAGCTGTTGAAGATCTTCATGTGTGCCTTTCTTCAATTCCTTTGAATAAATCAACGTTGTGTTCGACCAAACAGACCCAGGTTTCACATAAAGTAGATTGAAATTACAGGATAATTATATGTAATTACATATAGTTTTTTGGCATATTTATGTGAAGTGCTTTTTATATTTTAAAATTACAGCTAGGCAATATATTGAGTTTTTAAGATATTCCAATATCATTTTTATACGATAAGACATGAGACTATGTCGTTTAAATGTCGTTTAAATCCATATTTGCACTCTTGACCTAAAATGATGACAGTTTGATTTATAAAATGTCCTGTTTGATTGTTTCTGTCCATTTCACTTCATTTTGTTCGTCTTCAACTTCACCCTGTTCAGTCTCTCCCGCTCTTCACTTACTCATACTCACCATACCCGTTACAACAGTGCATTCCTAAAAAGACATTTCTGTGTACTTTGCAATACTTGGCTTGTCTTTCATTGTTACTATCAAAGTAGAAACATCGAGATAATATTTTCGTTGTCCAGTTGTCCATGGAGTGAAGTCCAGTCACACCTTGCTGATGCCAGCTCCACCATCATAATTAGCTACTTGTTTTTGGATTAATGGACGACAATGGTGATACAGTTTATTACATGACTCAGTTTGAAAAGGGTGGAATTCTGTCTTACCAGGTCAGAGAATAGTAGTAGTCTGCCCAGAGTGGAGGAGTTTAGGCATTTCATCTTTTTGCTCATGACATGATAGGAGATGGATGGACTGACACCATCCGCCGTGATGACAGACTCTGTTCCAGTCATTGTAAAGAGAGATTGGTAGAGGCAAGGCCCTCAACCTGCGGGATGGGGTAACTTCATTGCCTATAGAATCGGGTATCTGATGCAAGCAATGACGCTGAGTCTCCTCTGCAGAATGGTTGGACTCAGGGATGGAGACATCCAGACATTCAGGAGCAGCTCAAGGTGGATCTTTTCCACCCATTACATTGAGAGAAGCCAGCCGAGGTGCTACGGCATCGGGTCAAGATGCATGAAGATCCATGGGAGATGTTCAAGGTATGTCCATCTGGATGGAGACCAAAGACGCTATGATTTCTCCTTGATCTCTCCTTGCTAGTCTGGGAATGCTTAAGGATCCTCATAGAAAGGTTGGCCGGATACCTCCCCCTCCCCCACCTCCTGCTCTCCTACAACCACAACCCAGGAAAGTTGATACTGAACATGTCTGGTTAGGGTCTCAGTCACCCATCATCCTATCCATAAATAGTCACATCGTGGGCAACTAGATGAAGTAGGTTTCTTGAAGACGTTTCACCTCTCATCCAAGAGGCTTCTTCAGTTCAGTTGATACTGAACTGTAGTAAAATGTAAACACGTGACCATAGACGAGTTTAGACATTACAGGTTGAAAAATGAAGGTATGTTACTTTTTTTTTTTAATTTACAGGGGTCCGTCCCTCCTTCATTTTGTTGTGACTTAGACATGTGCTCAATACCAGCTTGACAAGTCCAGTTATGAAACATCCCTGATTCTTTTGTTGATGACAATACTTGCAGTACTTTTACCTCAACAGAGCTTTGAACAACAGCATGTTGAAATCAACCAGTGTGTTGTTTTGTGAGATTTAGGATTTTGAATCATTTGTGCACCTTAAAATAGGATATTTGGTGTAAAATGTACTCATGGTATATTCTGTTTTAATTATCCTTAAAGGTAAACATGCAGTTCCAGTTCTCAGTTCTATAGTGGTACTTGAGGTAATCCTTTTCAGCAGCATCAAAGTCTCTGCTTCGTCATGTAGACTCATGTAGACTCGTAGATTAAATTAAGTAGGTCAGCGATGGCATCTGAACGGGACGTTACGTGAGCTGTTGTTTTCTATTTTCTGTGTGAATATTGTTTAGTAGAACGTATGCCACAGTTCTGCTCGTTCTAACTGATTGAGATACAGTCGTAAGTAAAAAATCCTAAGACTGTTTTTCAATAAATTTATTTTCATAACAACTTCCATGTAAGTCCTGATTGGTCAGCCTGTGGTGTGGCGGCTAACATACAGTATTATGCTTGTGATTGGAAGTCTGCCTAAATACATCTCACAACGTAGACCAAAGTTGAGGCTAGCGTTCCTGTTTGTCAAGCCTCCCATATACTGTACAGGGAATTGTAAAGGAGTCAATTTAATTGACAAGACACCATATATTTAATATCATATCAGTTAATTAATGTAGGTCATATTCGAATAATTGCTGCCTAATTAAGTCAGCTTGAAAATGTCGACTGGTGAGAAAATGATTGTTGATGAAAGCAAAAGGCTGACAGAGCGAAGCAGTAAGTTGGCTAACTGGGTAACCTCAATATCACATCTTGGAAAACCTAGCCAGAATTTGTCTACTGGAATTTTTGGGCACATAATTCATAGTTCTGAAAAATCGGACACAAATTGTGAAACAACATCGTCTTCTTGTCTGTGGTCAAAAGTGGTCCACAAATGAATGCTACTGTTCTTTTGAAGTTTCTTTTTAGTTATTATTACTTTGTTTGGGAAGCCTGTATCCAACAAGAAGCTCTTCGTATTAGTAAGTACCCTTGAAGTACCTCTCAGTTTCAAAAAGGTTGTTAACCGCTGATCAATAGTGATATGTCAATATGGAAACCGTGATTATGGGGTGTCCAAAACTGACCACCCAAAATGGATGCAGACAAAAAATAAATAAAAATCACAACCTCTGTATCATAAAACAGAACAATAGCAACAACCAAACAATAATGTTGCTACCTAAACTCTGGATTAGGACTAGTCTGATTGTCTGCTATGGCATGGTTGGAAGTTGTGGACCCAAACATGAAAGACTGGGCCAAACAAAGGCACAAGTGCGGTTAAGCACATCGGCCACTGCCACCGCAAATATATGCAAGTCGCGGCCTCACGCAGTGGATAAATCAAGACATCGGCGTTCTTATTCTTATTCTACTACTCATGCCTGGTTTGATTTGAATAAATCGACAATGCTAGCAGGTTGGAGACATTTAACATGGGGTAAGAAGACAAGAACAAGGCTAACGATACAAGCAACTTAATCAACATCTAAAACCTGCTTTAGCAATGAATGTGCTAACATCTTAGCATTGAACAGCCCGCTGTCTCTTTTCTTTCAGTTACATTCTCCTTTAACATAGATATTATAACACAGTTTTTTTTTTATTGTAATGCACCAGTGGTGGAAAATCTCTGCTCATCTGTTCAGGGGTCATGGTTCCGCAGAAAGTGCAACTTCACCTTTCTTTATTTTTTACTTTTTCATAATTATTTCTTATTGACTAACAAAATGCCAGTGTCAATGGGGCTTTTTTGTGTCAAACAGAAAAATGTATTTTTCATTTGTCATAGTCTTGTCAATGAGAAGAAAATAAAACTTTTTCCTGCTCGTTGTCCTCACTGCACTGTCCTCACCCGTCTCTCACAGAGGTGTGTCACTTATTCAACACTGTCTTTCAGTTTCAGCACATTAATGATACACTACCTAAATAGGTATTACTGGTGCTACTCACAATAGGCAAGTACACAAATAAACAAAATATTCATAATTCATATTGGTTTGGGGTCAGATTAGAGACTAGCAAAAGAATTTAGCTACGACTATAATTTGTACCAGTTATAGTTAAGGTTCACCGGCTAAGACATGTGCTCTGTCCGTGTGAGGTGCTCACAAAGTACAAAAAAAAACATTGTATGAGTGTGTTTCTGGAGAAAGGGAAAGGGAGACACAGGGAAAGAAAGAAGGAGAGAAAGCGGGGAGGAGGGAAAGCCCATTTAATGAGATCCAGTTAGGCATCATTCTTTAAATATAATTTGTATTAATCCTTGTACGTCATACTAACTACAAAACATACCAAAAAATGCAGATCAATGCTAGATCCAAACAATGGCATATAATTATGTCAAATGTGTCATGTCGTCCAAACGTGTCATCATGGTCACGGCATCATCAGTTGAGGTGAATTTCATGAAAACCAAGTTATCTTGGTGTTGGTATAGATGGAAATACATATTGCATTCGTATGAAACTGTTTGTCCTGTGAAACGAACCCAGTTGAATGGGTGGTTTGTCGGAGCTACTTAGCTGATTTGTGTTCAGATCGCCAAACAGGATAAACAAGTAAGGCTCAGGATGAAAGAGAGAAGCAAGAACAAGCAAGAACAAGAGGATGAACACTGACTGAATAAACAATAGACAAATACATTTCATTCTGTTCTGTCAAATAACTGTTGATCTGCAAGTGACAAAAAAACAATAACATAAACCAAACAAAAACCAAACCTGAGCCACACTCATCTTTGTCAGAATTTAAAAAGCTGAGATTGGCTGTGATACAACCAAATTTCACACAAGTTTGTGTTCACACTTGTTTCTCCAGTGAGTTCCAAGTTCGCATTGGCCTGAAATGTATTTTGTACTTAATGCAAAAAAAATGTTTTTATTAAGGTTTTCTTTTGTGTTCCTCAATGTGAAAGTGACAAACAAACAATTCAAATCTCTTCCACTGGGTGGCAGCAGATAGCTACAGAAAACTAAAGAAACTCTTGGCTCGTTGGTAAGATGTCTTTAAGAAAACATAACAGTTTCCCTCTGAATGACTGAAAACATACATAAAATAAATTACATAAAAAAGATTCGGATCAAATATTATGGGCTGCTTTGATATATATTTATGAATAATAAAAACAGCTTTGTTTTTAAAAAATTAAACAATGAAATTCTGTGAAAACAGAATAGAACATTTGCAGTGCATGACCTGCTTTAAGTCGGTTCAAGAAACAGAATTTCTGATTTCTTGTACTCGCACAGATCACAGAGAAATTATGCCAGTCGGCACTGCTAAGTATTTATATATTTCTTTAAATTATTGTTTTAATTGTTTGGATTATTTTTGTTTTAAGGGCCTCACAGCAACTGGACAGCCTTCATAGCCCGAGAGAGCTTCATTGACATTTAGCATCAGCTAGCACTTGCCTAGTTAAAAATCACAGAAGGGATTTGTTTATGAGTCTATGATTCTTTTTGTCAAGGAAAAATCTATATATATGAGGCAATGTTTCATATTTCATCAGTCATAAAAGCCCTAAACTCATAATTTGTAACGACACGAAAAACCGCAACACGGTTGACAAGTACAAGCAAACGATTGACGCGGTTCTTTATTGACACCACAAGATGGCGGCCGTGACTTTTAACGTTGCTGAGGGTGACTACACAAGGCAGAAGAAAACAGGTTTAGATGTGATATCGACATTTTTACTAAAACCTCTGAAACATAAACTATCGTTTTAAACGTCTTCTTGTCCTGAAAAGCGAATGTTTCTGACTGTGAGAGAAAACCAGAGAACACACCGATAGAAAAAAAAAATCCCTACACTAGCAGGACACATGATGGAATGACATTTCGGTTTGCCGGTGAGAGACATTAAAATTAGCTCTTTAGCTTTGGCTCCGGATCGTTAACTGTTTACATTAGCGAACAATGTGACAAGCAAGTGCAGCTTCCACTCACATGTAGTCCGTTAAGAGACTATGACTAACCTCCGTAAACTGCTAATTTCCTGCTGCAAATGCGTCAACGTTTGACCCCGAAATTAATGTGACCTAATGAGAAGTATTTAATTAATTTTTGATGACACCCAGGATTTTTCTCCAGTCCATCACATGGACACATTTTCAAGGATTCAAGGACTTTTATTGTCCGACCAAACATGAAATGGTGCAAGGTTGCACACACATCTCAATCATTTACATTAACCTTCGTCTGTGTGGTCAATTAAGAATGTACAGGGAACCTTATCCTCCATGTTTTTGAGCGAGCTACCACTAGGGGGTGCCCTCCCTTTTTAAAATGACTGCCCCTTTTTGGTCCTACGTTTTAAATTAACTTGTCAATTTTAACAGCCCTAAACTTCTACTTACCTAAGACGTGAATCCTTATTTTATACCTCTACAATACACATTTTTGATAGGATTGTGCAGGAACAACCACACACAAACATGCACACTTGAAATGTTTTGGCAAAGCTACCTTGTGTTTACTTGTTTGTGGAAACCCAAATTGGTGTTGTTGTGGAACTGTTTCTGTTATAAAACACTGTAATGGAACAGACACATATGTCTACCATTATAATTAACTTTTATTGACTCATAGTTGACAAAAGTTTTACATGTAACATTTGATTGTTTAAAAGTCATTTAAAAAATTTAACAGAAAAAGGCTGTCATTAAGATTAAATAGAAATAGTGGAAATCTGTGACACCTCTGTCCAAACTGAAGACAAATAGTTGGAAGTTTACCGTAAGATGGGAAGAAAATACAGATAGATTTCTACAGTGCCTCTCCTCCCTCACCCTCTCCCAGGGGTTGATGAGATGACATTGATTATAATGTTTATGCATCAATCATTTCATGATGGACCACGTCCTTTACCCAGGTCTCCGAATCACCAATAAAACATTTATTAGTACCATACTAGCCATGACCAAGTACAGCAGGTGCAAAATGTACCCCAGACTAAGCCAGAAGGACAATTCTTTACATAGGTGTAGCTATTATGACATTGGTAGAAAGAAGTTGGAACGCCTACAACAGCATAATAACCATTGTATTTGTCCATACAGAAGTTTGTGTTGATTAGGCTCTCAGTGGTTGTGGTAGTTGTGGTGGTGGTGGTGGTGGTAGTGGTGGTGGTGGGACCAGTGGTGGCAGCTGCGGTGGTGGTGGTTTGACCAGTGTTGTCAGCTGCGGTGGTGGTGGTTTGACCAGTGTTGTCAGCTGCGGTGG